AAGGGCCTTGTGTCAACCTGAGTATGCTCCCCAGAGGCCCAGAGGTTCAGGTTTAACAAACCGGTTTAGGGTTTAGGGTTTAGGGTTTAGGGGTTTAGGGTTTAGGGTTTAGGGTTTAGGGTTTAGGGGTAAGGTTTAGGGTTTAGGGCTTAACGTTTGGGGTTGAATTAGGGAGTTTAAGGTTCGGGGTTGAGGGAGTTTTGGGTTTGGGGCTTAGGGAGTTTAGGCCTTGCGGTTTAGGGTTGGGTTTAAGGGTTTTGGGTTTGGGGTTTAGGGAGTTCATGGTTTGGGTTTAGGGTTTAACATGTTTAGGGTTTGAGGGTTCAAGCTTTGGGGTTTAGTGTTGCGGAAGGGGGGGGGTGGAGAGCCTCTCTTCAGAATGTAGTGTTCAGATTGCGGGGGTGAGGGGTTTACAGCTCTTGGGGATGTTGAAGTTGGGAATTTAGGGTGTTGGGATTTTGTGAGTCCCTTGCTTCAGCATGTTGGGCAGCTGCCCTTGCTGGTGCCGGAACCTTTTCCTGGTGATCAAAACGCAACCCTCTCTACAACCCTTTCAGCACCCTATAGAACCCCTGACAGGAACCCTCATAGAACAATCCCCTGAACCCCAAACCATCCGAAGCCCCTAAACCATCGTAGCCTTCCAGAACCCCTAGGCCCCTAAACCATCCTAAGCCCCTTAACCATCCTAAACCCTACAAAGCCATGCAGAACCCCTGAACCATCCGAAGCCCCGAAACCATCCTAAACCCCTAAACCATCCAAACCCCCTCAACCCCTAAACCATCCTAAACCAAACCATCCTATAGCCCTGAACCAGCCTAAACCCCTAAACCCCAAACCCCTGAACCCCTAAGCTCAAAAAAAATCCCTAAACCCAAAACCCCCAAACCCCTTAACCCCCAAACCCCTAAAGCCGAAACCCCCAAACCATCCTAAACTCCTAAACCCCTTAGCTCCTCAACTCCAAAACCCCTGAACCCCCAAACCATCCTAAACCCCCAAACCCCAAACCCCTGAACCCCTAAACTCCTCAACCCACAAGCCCTTAACGCCAAAACCCCTAAACCCTAAACCCTAAACCCTAAACCCTAAACCCTAAACCCTAAACCCTAAACCCCTAAACCCTAAACCCCTAAACCCTAAACCCCCAAATCATCCTAAACCCTCCTTGTCTGAAGCGCCCACTGGGCAGGGGGTTGCGGTGCAGCACGCGGAAACTCCTCCAGGCCTATGCAAGCAGATGTTTAGGGTTTAGGGTTTAGGGTTTAGGGTTTAGGGTTTAGGGTTTAGGGTGATGGTTCCGGGCTTCTTGGGAGGGTGTGAGGGTGTCCTACGGGTTTAGAGTCTTGGGGTTTAGAGTTTGAGGTTTAGGGCTTATAGAACTTATAGGAGGTTTTTTGGAGGGTTTGCGGGTTGTAAGAATTTAGGGTTTAGGAGATCGGTTGTAGGGTTCAGTGTCTTTTGGGGCTTCAAATTAGGTTTATAAAGCCCCGCAGCACCTAATCCACCCCCTTAAACCCTAAACCCGAACCCTA